AAAGCAACCCTTCCAAAAGCAGCCACATTTATAATCACATATGTAAATCATGACTTAATATATAACAGCTTTGTTGTCTTCTATGTATTTAATTATAAATATATACATAGATGCAAAATTTTGCTTGAATCGAGCCTCCGACTGCTCGGTATCGAATAGAGCTTAAATAAACAGAAAAAATAGTAACCACGTGCGTAATGTTTTTACTAAAAAAATAGTGAACAATTGCTTAAACTTAAACTTTGTCTTGCTTTTACTTTTTTCAATTTGAAATGGGAGATTCTTTATAAAAAAAAAGTATCGTGATCTTTTTAAATTCATGCTAATGAAAAAGTGAATTTTAACTATTGTCTTCAGCAATGCTGAACAAATACTTTTATTTTAATTAAACACAATAACTTTATATATTATATATAGCAAATTAACAATACTTAAAGAAAGACATTTGTAATGTTTAAGTTTCTTTATTATCAGTTTACACATATCATTAAGATTGTAAAAAATATAGAAAAATTAAGAAATTACATTAAATGAAGTATTGTTTTTCTGTATAATTAATTTTTGGTTCCTAGGAAAAATATATATGATAATACATAGTAAAAACATACACATAAATCATATGTAATACTGTGATGTAACAGCTGTAATATATGTTATTTCACATTGTATTTTTTCCTTTGTACACTCTTTTTGTGTGCTCAATTCGGCCGAACTGCCGGAAGAAGTTCGACGTTATTCTGGATTTTTGTACAACATATGTTTGTGAGTGTTATTGCTAGTATTGTAAATATGTATGCGCGCGTGCACATGTGTGAATGTGTATGTGTATGTGTATATATCTTTCCCTGTATATATACAAATTATTTATTAACATCTCTGTAATTTTTAACGTTTCATTGCAAGCCCAATGCAGCTAAATATATTACTATAGTTTTAATATAGTTTGAACAAATGTTAAATTGCTATTAAATATCTAACTTTACTTTTGGATGAATATTACAATGAATTTTGTTGAATTGTATCTATGTAATTGAATTTTAGATTAAGTTACTGCTAACTTAAAAAAATAAAAATCATGAGTTTTAAATAATCGTCGCACTATATCTACTAATGAAATATAACAAATATTTTAAATTTATTTATTCACAAACAAATATTATTTAAAATTAAGAATAGCACATGAATCATTGGGCTGATTTTAAACGAGACGAAAAGAAAATATTTAATTTAAATGGCATTTTTATCAGAATCATCAATCACAAAATAAACTATGATTTAATTCAAAAGATTTGATTATGAGTAATATATCATTTTAAAAAATTATTTTGTATAAGATGATTCTATATAGATGCTTGTCACTATTATGTATGTAATTATTGATTCTTATTTATATCTGATTATTTTACCTGAGTATTCAGGTAATATAACTGTGCCAGCATAAAAAATTGCAATTGTGCTAGTAAGCGGGTAATTGTCAAAGATATTTCTAAATGTGAAGTAGTATAAAACTATACATACATATATTTGTGTGTTAAATATATATGTATGTATAGTATGGTACATAATGCACAAACAAATAAATTTTTAAATTATTATCAAAATAGGATTTGGTAAGATATTTAATTAAATTTTACATTGTTCTTATAAATCAGTTTTTTTTTATGCAATTTGTACTTATTTATTCATCAAATTTTTGTAATTTTTATAATATATATTTCATATTCAGAATAATTTTATATTTAAAAAGTATAAAAAATATTATTTTTAGCATTTTGCAAATTACTTTAAATAATTAGTTATTCTTTAAGATATTTGTAATTTTTTTTTGAAAATAAATAGAAACAAATATAAACATTATGTTATTTCATTTTTATGTATGGTGAACTTCAAAGTTTGTTAGAAATTTAAATATGTTTATAAATATACATATGTATGTATAAAAATGAGAAAATAATGTGTAAGAAAAATGAAGAATTATTAAAATAATACTATATAGTGCTTAAATAAGTGCACTGTGCATTTCATTTTATTTTTAATTTTTTATTTATTTATTTATTTTTTTAAGTTCTTAACATTATGTATATACTACTTCACATTTCTTATAATGAATGTAAAATAGTGTATTTCATATTGACATAAAGCACTTTTTCAGCTGTGATGTTAACAACATAGGGAATTCATACAGAAATGCAAAAAGGGAATTAGTATAATAGAGATGAATTTATTATAATAACAATTCAGTATTATGACATGTACCAATGTTTTTGCAAATTAAGAATTCTACTACTAGTTAACATCATTGCTAATAAAATGTGAAAAGAAACTATAAAACAACATATATTTAAAAAAATCACAATGAGGCACAAAGGTGGTAGGAAGAAAAGGGCAATGAATAATATTTGTGTCCAAAATATATTGGAATCTTAAGCAACCAAGAATTAAATCTGAGATTTCATACAAGTATACGTGTGAAAAAAACTAAAATCATGAAAATAAGACGGTAACAAAGTATAGTTATCGGATGATTAATTATAACATTATTGCTACCATTACTGCTGCTAGTGCTATGATTACTATGATTATTATTATTATTACAACTACCATTATTGCTATAACTATCATAACTATTACTATAATTACAGCTAATATCATTACCAATATAAATTGTCCTTGTAATTTTTATATGCTAAGTATATACTTTAATAGAATAAATGGAAAAGAATGGGAAATGAGTCACAATAAATGTAACATAATAGCCCTACTTGATTTAAGGAGGGCACAAACTATGTTAACTGAACTATGAATTATAAATATTGTATAAGACGATAAATAATAATTATTATTATCATTATTATAATTATTATTAATTGAATTAGAAAATTGTAATCTACCCATCAACCATTTTCAAATAAGGGAGATTTAAGTCTGTAATTCATGTATAACAAAAATCAAGCTGTACAATGTTGTTGTTTATTGCTGTTGTTTTTTACTATCCTTAATCTTATTATTTGAAAAAAAAATATTTCGAAAAAAAATTATAAAAATTAAATTAAAATTACAAAAAATTAAAAAATTTTTAAATATATTGTGAATATAAATTTATTACATATTTTATTGGGACTTAAGTTATAATTATAATTATAAGATAATTTTTATATTAATATTCAAAAATTGGAATGCTTTTGATCTATCAACGTAAAGAATATAACCTCAAAATGTAAAATATGTTGTTATTTTTAAGAGTATGGTATTTTGTATTACTTTTGATTAATTTCGCACAAATTATTGTGGCAAATAAATTTTGTGACAAACCAGATGAATATGAGAAAACTGATAATAAATGCAATATTCAATTACGTTACTCACAAAATCGGTTTGAATTTATTTATAATAAATTTAATATTTATATTTAAAATCAACATTTTTATATAACAATTTTTCAGTTACATACTCTATGATGTTAATTCTCCAGAGGGATTTAATCTAAGAAGAGATGTTTTTATTCGTATTGCAGTTTTTATAAAAATTTTAATCAAACAAGAAACAGAATTTAAATGGCAATTAGTATTGCCACCATGGGGTAATGTTATGTACATATTAAATATATTAATAATTTTTCATTATTTTGATTTTATCCATTTATCTTTTACATTCTGTTTTTGTAGGCAATTTGTATCATTGGCGTAGTAAAAATATAGGATTTCAAACACAATTGCCTTGGAATCTGTTTTTTGATATTTTAAGTTTACAAAAATATATACCTGTTATTGAAACATATCAATTTTTACAAGGTATATAATTTCATATATTTAATTAAATATAATTTCAATATATTTAATCATAAAGTCAATAAAAACTTAATTTTTTCAGAATATCCTTCAGAAAATAATCAAACTCATCTTGATGTTATATATATTTTACAAAATGATGAAGAAATGTTCAAGACAGGTATATTTAAAGATAAGAATGAAATAATAAAATGTAATGATAAATCATTACAATTTCATAAAATAAAATCTAAAAAATATGTTGGACATTTTTGGGGATACAATAATATAACTTCTAAAGCTGTTAAATGTGTTACATTTCATGGAATGATATCAAATCTTAAACAAAATCTTAAACCTAATATTTATAGGTAAGAAAATATATTATTTATTTAACAATAATATTTACTACAATTAATTTAATTATTATTGTATAGATCTGTAATGTTCGATCATATGGAAATTGCATTACATGATTTCTATGGTACAAAAGAATATTGGAAAGCTAGACGTAGTATGCGATATAATTCTGAGTTATATGATATTGCTAATCAATTTCGAAAATCCTTTTTTAATTCATCAAATAAGTATGATAAAACAGAACGGCCGGATGATTGGACTAAAGAAAAAGTATTTAATTTTGCTTATATTGATAAAAATGCAAACTAAGAAATAATTTTTTAATTTAATTATAGAGTAGAAGAAATGCAATTGGAGGTCCTTATTTATCAGTTCATTTAAGAAGACGCGATTTTTTAATTGGTCGTTCTTCAACAGTACCAACAATAAAATCTGCTGCTTTTCAGTTAAAAAATAAATTACATGAACTTCAATTAAAATTCTTATTTGTTGCTACAGATGCTACTCAGAAAGGTAAATTATCTCTAAAATTTTATAATGCTTGGATATTTATTAATCATATTAATTTGTCTAGAATTCAATGAACTTAGAGAATATCTGTCTAATTATACAATTCTTAGATTTATCCCATCAAATTATGTATTAGACAAGTTTAAAGATGGTGGAATTGCAATTATTGATCAAATAATTTGTTCTTATGCTAGGTAAAACTTGATTATATATTTCATTTCTTATATTATATATTTCATTTCTTATATTATAATAAAAATAATGCATCATGCATATATTCATTTTTAGATATTTTATAGGAACATATGAATCAACATTTACATTTAGAATACAAGAAGATAGAGAAATCATTGGTTTTCCTACTAAAACAACATTTAATTACTTATGTAGAACTAAGGAGAAATGTAACTCTAATGGGCAATGGGAAATTGTTTGGTAATGTATAAAAATATATATAAATTATATTAGATAATAAAATCAAATAATTAAATTAAATATATGTTTTACCATAAATGATGTATGTATAAGTACAATTTGTTTTTATATAGTTATGTATTACTGATATTATTTATTTCTTTTTATTATTGTGTTAGCTTATCATTGGTTTACCAATTAATTCTTGTTCTCGACGAATTTCCTGTTCCCTTTGTTGTTCCTTATTCAAAGCTTCTTTTTGTATTATTTGTTGCAATCTTAATGCTCGTTTCTACATAAAAATAATTTATGTATTTCATAAATAACATTGAAAATATCTATGAAATAATAGATACAACTTACTTTTAATTTGAATGTCCTCTCATGAATAGAAGCCATTTCTTTTTTCATTAAAATTAATTTATTTTGACTAATTTTAATAGTTTGGAACTGTAATACATATTTCTTTTATGTATTTTATATATTAATTTTTTATTATTAAAAAATGTATTTTTTCATTTTGTTTAAAATATCATAGGATAATTAAATTTATATTTGAATACTTACCATATCATTTAGTTTAATATCATCAAAAACATCTTGAAATTTTTTGTTCTCAATTTGCATTTGATTGAGTAAAGTCTCTTGTTTATTTCTAAACAAAAATAGTATGGAACAGAAAGATAAAAAATGCTTATGAATTTTTAACTTACTTTACTTCATCAAGTTTTTTTTCAGTTTGTTCCCATTGTACTTGATATTGATTTAAAAATCCTTCAGCTAATTTCTTTACAGCCTCTTTAAAATCTAATTCATTTTCTTCTCTATAAAATTTAAATTAATTAAAAAAAATTAATTTTTAAATAAAAAAAATTTAAGGAAAAGAGTAATGTATATCATCATTATTATTATTATTGCTGTTGTTGTTGTTGTTATAAATATTAATTAAAATATATAAATATAAATTATGTAATTCATAATTATTTACAAATAATTATAAAATAATAAACAATGAGAAATAGGTTACCTATTGCGTTTTTCAATTTCTGATTGAAGTTCCCTTGCTTCTGCTTCTTCCATATCTGTCATCATTTTTTATTTTGTGTTTTATTATTATATATTATTATTCAGTAAATTATACTATGTAAAAACTTATTTGAATTTAATAAATAATATTTACTATGAGTTTGACATTTTGTCACATCAACAATAGTTCAATGAATTTGAAATATATCTACTATCTTTATACATAAATTTTAGTATCGATATTTCTTTCTATGTATATGTTTCATGCTTATGAATTTAACTCGAACATAACCAAGAAAAAAGTTGTAAAGAAAAATATTTATTATTTATGAAGTGGAATATGTTTTTAAAACCTAATAATAAGTTTGATGAACGTTTTTATTTGATATGGAGCATTTTCCAAATAGAAAATATATTATGGTAGCTCTTGTGTGTGAAATAAACACTGCAGCAGTGCTTCTAAATATAGGATTTATTTTTAGGTTGGAGCTAGCCATAGTTTGAATCAAGAATTTAATCTAAAACTGCATTTCTAGACAGTTTTATAGTAGGTGTGAAAAATTTCTATTTTTGAATGACATTTTTAGTCTAGTCTTTGTTTTTTGCTAATTTTGAATTTATACAATATTTGATCAATTAAATACAAAAATTTTAAGTTTTTTGCATTAAACATATAAAAATCTTTTTCCTTAAATGTTTTGTTTGTATAAAATAACTTAAATAATTTTGTAGGTGAATATTAGAAATGTAGACGAAACAAGTGAACAGAAATATATATTTTTTTACAGTGATAAAAATGGCAAATGACTTAATAACAAAAGGTAAAGATAGATTACAAGAAATTAGCATGAAATTAGAACAGAGCCATTTAGTTTATCTACAAACAGATGACAGTCCATTAAAATTACAACAACGTCATAAACTTGAAGGTAAATATATAAAAAATAAATATAGATGTCTTAAATATATGAAACTTTATTAATTTTATCATAATTTTAATAATTATTAATTATTTTTTATTTTAGGTTTTATTAAAGAGTATCTTTGTTTTGTCCCAAATGAAAATAAATATATATTTCAAGAAACTGCAGATATATTGCACAGATCAGCAGCTACATTGCAAGATTTTAGTGGATATAGAGCTGCAACTGCCTGGAGTGCTATTTCTTTATATGCTGCTAATCTTTTGGCACAACCTTGGAGAAGAGAATATAGAACATTAAGAGTTAATATTTTTGTAATCTTTCTTATATCATTTTTCAAAATTATGAAATGATAAATTAATTAGTTGCTTTCATGTTAGACTTATAGTGGATATTATAAACATGAAGTAGAAGCAAATTTAATAGGAGCAGAATTAATGTTTGAACAAATGGGATATAAACATACAGGATTGGGAATACTTACTTTGGAAGGTCCTATTGATCCTGATAAAGTATCCAGTGTAAGCAGAGATGCAATAGTTGCTTTTGTTGAATGTCAGGTAAAAAATTTATTACAATATATAAATATATATTTTTGTAAAAATAATTTAATTAATTAAGTTTCCATCTTAAATATAGATTTTGAAACAAATATGGGAGAATGTTTCACAAAATTATGGTATCTCGTGGTTAGAAGTCTTAGAATTTCGAGAAAACCATGTTGGTACACCAGAACAAGCAATTAGAGCATTAAATTTCCGTTTTCTTGAGAAAATGCATCAAAGTCGAACGAAGACGGAAGATTATAGGGATTATCATTATCCGCAAAATACATGTGTAGATGCATCGCCGTCTATACCTTATCACATTATGCCTCCTAGTTATAACATACCAATGCCTACTTGTCAGTCAGATTATAGATATATTGAAAATACAAATTCGATACCAGGAACATATAAATATTTTCAACCAATAGATCATGGTTTTGGAAATCGTTGTAGTGCCTATGGTTGTTTATCACATGGTAATAAATATTTAACTGGAGTCAATCCTTATTATACCACAATGCCAGGATATACAAAAGTACCAACAGGTAGATTAATTGAACTTGATATGCCTGTTTCTGTTGCAAATTATGATAAACTCCACAATCGGAAGATGACCCACCGAATATCAAATTTGGAGGAAATAGATTTTTGTAGAAGACAATCCAGCGATGGAGATCATTATGATTGCGGGAGAATTGATAAAAAGTCTGCAAAATCAGGCAGTGAAAAAAACAATTGTGATTCTTGGGACTTTGTATACAGAAATTTAGAAAGTTTAGGCTATTCTAAAGATCTTGGTGATCGAGAAGATATTTTACACAAACGAGAATTTGATTCTCGATTGAACAAACAAAAATCATTTAAACAAAACGATAGGGATGAAATACATAGTATACATCGTTTTGAAAAAAGAAAAAGTGGGAGAATCGATATGAATGAAATTGATTCATCTATAACAAATGGTCGACATCATCATCACGATACATTACCTTTTAAAAAAAAGTCTTCTTCCTTTGATTTAATGGATTCTAATAGATATCACGATGTATCTTCAGAAAGTCATTTATCTTCATATAATAAAGAAAAAAGACACGGTAGTCAAACACTTCCAATTCAACGTTCTCATCGATCAGTGGATCAAATTGTAAAAATTGCAGACACATTAAAAAATTTAGAACTTTCTCAAACAGAAACAGAAAATGAAATAAAAAATGGAAGTATGAATTGGAATTGTGCTACTTGCACATATCTCAATTCTTCATCAAAAGAAATTTGCGAGATGTGTGGAAAATCTAGGCATAAAGGAAATGAAGATAAGCCATTAGCAAGTGGCGGAAAAGAATGTCCACGATGTACGTTAGTAAACGAGAAAAATGTTTCAATCTGTGATGCTTGTGGTATCAGTTTAAAAGATTCACCTACTTATATTTAGATATTTAACTATTTGAAATAAATCATTACATTATTTTTTATACAATCAACGACACTTGATTAAACAGTAGAAATATTTTATTAATATTAGATTCATCCTTAAATAATTATATTCTGTATTCTATATTTTTACTATAATTCTAATGAAACTATACAGATTTTAAGCAATCATTTATTTAATAAACATAAAAATATTTATATTTTATAGAAAAAATTATGCATATTATGTTTTATTAATTAATTACTTTTAATAATTATAATATGGAAAAATTCTTATCATTGAAACTTTTGTTAAAGAATTATATATAAAGAAAACAATTTATAAGAAATATTCTGAAGAAATGGAAGAAATTCAAATAAAGAATAAAAAAAGAGAAAAAGAGAAATTCAAATAAGAAGATAGCTAAAAAAATAAATAGAAATAAATTTATTATTCGTTCTTATTTAAAAAACAAAGATAATTATATTCAAATAATAGTAAAAATTCAATTATATAAAACCGAAAAATAAGATATCTTCAAATTCGAATTCTAATATAAATTATTGAATAAATTAGTATTTTAATTTCACAATACAAACTATATAAATTGTACAATAAAAAAATATCTATTATTAAAAAAGAAAGAAAAGAAAAAATAACCATGTTTGTTCACTAACTAAAACAATAGACTTAAAATTTTAAAAAATCATATGAATTGAATATTTATATATTTTTATGAAAAGAAATTTAATTTATGTGATAGATATTTATTTTATTATTATGACTTAAAAAAGAAGAGAAAAAATTTTATTTTATAGATAATATAGAAGAATATTTATAATCATTGAGCTATTTATAAATTATAAAAGAATGGCAAGATGCAAAAAATATCTTGAAATATTGAAATCAGTTAAAGTTAAAATTTTTAATTTAATGAATTAAATTTTAAATAATATTAGAAATTTCAATATGATGCAGTCCTACAGCTAATTAAAAATTGATATTAAAGAAAATAAGAAATAAACTATATAAATTAATTGATATTATCATTAAATTTAAACATAATTAAAAATATTTATACATATCTTAAGAAATTAATTGTCAATTTCAATCTTATATAAATGCTATAAAGATTGGGTATAAAAAGTATTACAATTAAAAATATATATTTTTTTTTATTTTATTTATTATTTTACTATTCAACATTTTACTATTACATTTATTCAATAACATAATATCTTTTTCTATAAAACAGGAATATTTTTATATTAAACTAGTTATCAAAAAGAAATGAATATAATTTCATTAAATAGAGTTTTTAAGTGAATAGAATATATTAATTTGTAGTTTAATTCAAAATAATATTAAAAAAATATTATTACATTTAACCAAGTATCGCGGATTGTATATCTAAAATCAAAGAAAAAGAAACGGTGAGTATATTTCCTAGATATCCTCAATATCATCTTAATAAAAATATTTGAAAAATATTGAAAATGTTTGAAAAAAATGTTAGTACTTATAGTGCTAATAATAGCTAATATAAGTAATAACAATTTTTGCCTTTATTTAGAGAAAAAAATTTTAAAGTCTATTATTTTATTGATGATTATTGTTCAAATTTAGAATTTCTCAAAACAAATAATGAAAATATAAAATTATTTATTTGAAGTTTTTTGAGTAGACTTGTGATATGGATACATTAATATTACGATAGTATTATTATATTATGGTGGCCTATTACTTGTTTAAAGAAAAATAAAAATAAACATAGATACTATTTTGTCTATTTAAATGAAATAAAGATTAATTTTAATGAATGTTCTTTATTAGTATATAATTATTTTTTATTTTAATTTACAATTAGAAAGATATTATTGATTTAATTTGATAATATTTGCATATATATATAAAAATTAAATTAATAAAATTATTATCAATAATATTTATTAGCCTAAATAGTTTGTAATGTAAAAAAATTATGTAAAAGTTATTTATTATATACAATATGTATGTATATTGTATCCATAGCAAAAACTCAAAAACTTATATTTTAAAAAAAAATGATATAACTCTATTGGAATGTTATTTAGAAACCAAATGTTGAAGTATATTGTATAATACATATATGTGTGTACATATATACACATATAGTATAAAATTGATTATAATTTATTAATTAATAACTTATAATTTTTATTTAAACTTTTGTAACAGAATTAAAGAAATATTATATATTGATTTTATTTAAATTAAAGAAAAAAAAATATTAATATTACTTGTCATTTTATGGTCTTGTTGGAAAGATAAAAGAAAAATAGACATCAATATATGTTATTTAAATCACTTTTTATTAATTGGACAATATTGCTGTAGAATTATAATACTTGTGTACCTTTAGAAGACAAATATAAATTATATAATAATTAATAGAGTGCACAGTATATAGATTAATAAATATGTAATTTGTATCTATATATTTTATCAGTATGCAATTATTTCAATTTAAAAAATTGTGCAATTGTTAATTTTGTACTAAAATTTATTTAATATAGTTTAATATTTATTTATACATTCCTAATACATCATTTCATGGAATGATTTAATATATGTTGTTTTTGGAATTTTATTTCTATATTATTTGAATTAGTATTATGTATTACTTATTATTTATAATCAATTAATTACTCTTACATATAATGATGTTATACTTTAATTTATTGAAGTTGTTATAACAAATAAATTTTTAAAGCTTTTTAGTATAAATTATATTGCAAGAAATAATATAATGTTTTAAAACTTGTAATTTCTTCAGGATTTATAAGTTAATAAATTTGTTGTTATTATCTTTGAAATATTCTTAAATCTAAATTTCAAAATTTATAAGAAATTTTAAAATAATATATTTCGATAAAAAATGTTCCATTCAAACATATAGACTGTTTGAATATAAAAATGACTTTACTAAAATCTACTTTTAACATTTATGAAAGTCTGATATTTTAATGGAAATAAGAGAAAATATCTAATATTTTTTCATTGAATGCACGTAGAAAAAAACATTTAATATAAAAAAAAAGATAAATATATGTCGTACAATAGCAATTGTAATATATTGCAAGCTATATGTACATTGTACTATATTCTATTATGTACAAATAATAAATAATATTTAATATAGAAAATATGCAAAATATTTATTTTTTGAACACTGAAATCCAATAAAAATATGTAATATGCATTATTTTTAAGTTATAATTCACAATTTTTATTTATAATCAAACAACAAAAAACGCATTATATTAATATATATATTAATTTATATTATATATAAATATTTTATTTTACATTCTTAGAAAATTTTTCTAATATTTTTAAAGCAGCTTGATGAATTTTCCGGTTAAGTTTATCTATAAATTATAAAAAAATCATTAAAATTATATCTAATCAAAAAGAAAAAGACTAAAATCAAAAAAATACTTACAAATTTTATGATTCCCTTGTATTGGAAATTTAATTGGCAATGTTAAAAAATTTTCACATATAAAAACATAAAGACTATCATTACTTTCTCCTTCTGGATAACATTTTCTATATTCATCTTGAGGTAGTACATCAACAACTGTTACACATCCTAATAAACAACTAGTTGGATAAATTTCAGGAAATTTTAATTTTTCTGTAAAATATTTATATAATTATTATAATATATACTATAATCTATACATTTTAAAATTAATGTTAAGAATTGGCTAAGTTTACCAAAAAAATCTGAAATTCTCTTTATAATTAAAATTGAAGTTTATCTTTTAATTGATACTCACCATTTTTTAAAACACGATAGTATTGTTCTACATTCGAGATTTCTTCTTTAGTTGGTGTTTTAGATGTTGCAGCAATCCATAATCTTCCTCTATGTGATGAATACCATGAACGACCTTCATGACTGTAACAATATTATAATATTTAAGAAGATAGTATATTAAATCTTAATTTATTTACAGAATTATGATTTTACATTTTTATCCCAGATACTAATAAAGATGCATAAGGTTGATGCATGCTTAAACATAAACCAAGATCAGACATTTCTAAATATTCTTTATCTTGAATAATGTTTTTTGTTTTTGAAGAAATTTTTGCTATTGATGTTCGTAGATTAGCTACACTTGATCCTATATACTATAATAATAATTCAATATTACTTTCTTTTTTCACATAATAATAATAGTTTGTTAATAAATATTTTTACCATTGGATGTTTAAATTCTATATTTGGACAAACATTACTAATTTCAAATTCATTGAATGATTCAGAAATATCTTGTAACTGTTCTTCACTGAATTCGAAATCTTCTTCGACTAAATTCTCTTCAATTATTCTACCTGTGAAATCTAAGATTGCATAAATTTTTTTATCTAAATGAGACATATGCTTCTTTTTATTTTTTTGTTCTTCTAAAGTTCGTAATTTTTCTCGTTGTTCAGCTGTGAACCATATATTATTTGATTGATAATAATCACATTCATCATCAATTACTTTTGTACCTTGTATTCTGTAAATTATTATAATTATAATTTGATCTTTATATGAAAAAATAATATAATATGTTATACCCATTACGATCATATTCCAAAAGTTTGTCTCTCTGTTTTATTGATTCTTCTAGATTTTTATTAGGTTTTTGATTCATCAATTTATTGTATAATTGATCACCTTGTTTAGTATTACTAGATAGAATAGTTTGTTCTTTTTCAGAACATACAAGTTCTCCACAAAAAAAACAAGGACCAGCTCCTTCTTGAGCACAGACTATTCTACCACAATTAAGACAATTATTAATTAATGTGTGTCTCTTTGCTTCACAATCACATTTGTGTCTTCCTAAAATGTTATATTATTTTTAATATTATATGATAATTTATCAATATTAATGTTATAACAATAATATGTAGCATTTTAATATATGAAATACCTTTTAATAAAATTTCCCTATTTTTACCATCTTGAGAATATATACTTTCAAATTTAGGTTTTTTTCTTTCCAGTTTTTCTACTTTTATATTTTCTTGTATCTAAATAAATAATATTTAATGTTAATCTATAGTATAATAATCATAATTATCTAATATAATAATTATTATAAATTTAAGATAAAATATTTAAATAACATGATAATATACCTGTTTATTTTCTTTATATTCTTTTGATTTTACTTTTCCTTTTTTTTTTTCATTTTGCCTTTTTTTTCCATTGTCCATATCATCTTCTTTTTTACATTTAGCTTGATCTTTAATTAAAGCTGAAATAGCATTATAAAATATTAAAAAAATATTAAATGATTTAATTATAAATAATAAATATAAAAACCTTGTTGTTTCTTAAAATCTGTTAAAAATTGTCTATGCTTTCCATTAGTATAATCTAAAAAAGATCGCATATAATCATCTAAATCTCTTTCATTTTGTATTTGCATTATATATCTGAAAGAAATATATGATATATGAATTATTATAAAATATTATCATTTATACAAGTGAATATTATAGTTTTATTTTATTATAATCTACTTACTGTACTATTTCGTTTGTTACTGGAAAATCTAATATTTGAGATAAATTTTCACAAATCCAATCTTCCATTTTTGCAAAATTATTAAAACAATAGCCTAAAAAAATTAAAAATATTATCTAGTTACTTGCAAGTATAAAGTTAATAATTGATGCGTGACTCGTGAGCAGAGTTGACAAGCACGCTATCCCCTCTACCACTAAAAGTATTTCAATTCTTCTGTGGCAAAATACGTCACGTGATTAGAATTTCCACCAAAGCTAAACGTTTCATGTTTCGTGTCACGTGATGTGGGAATAATATGACGTCACATATTCTCCTGCAGAAATCTGCTGCAGGAGAATTGAGCCACTTTTAGATAGAGGGTGTACCTGTACGTATGAAGTTAACATTTAATGTTTAAATATTTAAGCATGCGCATTAAATATATATTATATATTATAATATATAATAGATATATTTCATGTTATAAAGAATATTTTAATCTCTATCAAATTTGCAATTTAAGTATAATTTTTCTTTCTTTTGAAGAATAAGAGAAGTTTCAAAATAGTTTCTGTATTTAAAATATAATTTCTGTATTTAAATTTAATTTTCTATCAAATTAAAATGTATCAATATATTTATAGATAAAATTTTTTAAAAAACTTATATATCTTAAAGTTAACTTAATTTTTGTTAAATTATGATAACGATATTACTTGTTTCAATGTTAATGTAATCTCGATCATATGAAAATATAAATATCATAATTTAATACGTTAAAATAGATTAAAAAAATGTATATAATAATAAATATAAACTAATAATATAATATATTAATAATATTAATAAGAAATAAAAATAATTTAAAGTAAAAATTCTCATTAAAATTTCATATTTTCTAGAGCTTATTTTCATGCTTGTGTTATGGAATTTAAAAATACATAGGTTAACGCAAGGCCTTCGGAACATTTAACAAACGGATCTTCCTGCAGTTAAATTTGCATAGCTAGTCGTTTATACGTCGACAATCATGTATTCGTGCACATATGAGTTGAGTTTCAATTTTTGCTGGTGTTACATAACAATTACTGACACTTACCACAACTGATATCATCGCGTTTCACATATCTATTTCTATTTAATCACATTGGTACTTTTATTAATTATATTAGTATTTTTATTAAAATTTATTATATGGTATTATAGATATTTAATCATTTTAAATAAATTTTCTTTTTAAATATTTTAGAAATATAACTGTTCTTATATTGTTGGAAACAATTTAATATTTTTTTTGAAGAATTATATATAAATAGTGAACCAAATATTAAGAAATATAAGATGTAAAATAATTAAAAAGGAATAAGAAAAAAGACATATATTTGCATTTGTTGCATAAAGTAAGTAATTTTTCATTCTTTAAATTTCCTTTACTAGGAAAAAAATAAAGAAGAAAGCCTTGAAATTCTAAAAAATATATATTTTCTAAACTTTTTCTTATTTTTTAATCTGTAATATAATTCGAAATAGCAACAATAGAAATTGCAATAAAATTATTTTATGTATTTAGACAAGACAATATAAATAGATCGCATCATGAATTGTTCTATTAAAATGAATATATTGTAATTTCATTTTAACGAGAATATATCAAAATGTATGTATATATAATATAAAAAAATGTATTAAAATATATTAGATATATTAAAGAAAATATATTATTAAAATATATTAAATCTTTATATAAGAATATTTTAAAATTATGCAAAACGATTGAAAAGGACTAAATAACATATATTATGATTATTAGTTGTTCGAACCATTTTATTAAGTCGATTAGCCTGTTAAATGATAAAAGATTCTTGTACAATGAACTTTCTATATCATTCCGCATCGGGATCATTTGATAATTACTTTCAATCAACGGTTTTATTTGGACGAATGCTGTTCAAAGCGTCTTCATTATTCACATATATAATACACGAATTATACTATAATAAATCCGAATGATTTCAAAAGATTCACATCTATCTTGTTTCTTAGTTATCTATCTTATAATATTAAAACAATCATTTTCTAATTTATATTATTATTAGTTTAAAAATAAAATTATTTAAGGAATAACAATTTATTTTTCTAATTTTATTATAACAAAAATTTAATATATATAATTAAAAATATAATAAATATAATTTAATATATTGAATTTTTTGCAATATTACTATTTATCTACAATTGGGTCATCGTAAATATTGCACCAAAAACAAACTAGTCTTGATAACGTGTATCTTATCAAGTTGATTCGATATGATCGGTGGAGAATTCAATCGAGATAGAGTGGAAGATAAAAATAGTGTTTTTTCTATCCTTTAAATCGTGATAGAACAAAAAACATTGTTTAAAATCTATATCTTTATTATTTCTTTGCTCATAGTCATTAAAAATAATTAAAAAGGACAACAAAATATGTTAACAAAATATTGTTATTATCTTACAAGATTTTAACAATTATTTAAAAAATGTTGGTTTCATGTTATTATTCAGAATTAATTATAACAAAATTGTTTTCTTTCAAGATATTTTCTTTTATCTTTTGTAATTAATGATGCATATGAAAACAGTGATATCACATTATCATCATCGATGAGAATATATGGTAAATTGTTTGACGAAGCACATTTGTCTGTGTTATTATATTTTTCTTTTTTTCTAGTCATCGACTAGAAAACTTAATTAAAAAAGATTAGCTCATTCTTAGTCTTCAATGCTACCAATTGCAAAGAAAAACTTTCAATATAATAGATAATTTGAAATTTCTTCTGAAATTTAATTTTAAATTTTATTTAGAATTAATTTACATATAATAATGAATAATGTATTTTTTAAACAAGAAATATATATGAATTAGAAAATAATTCTTATAGGTATTTTTATATTTACATATATTACATATGTATTTTTATTAGAGTAATTTATTAAGTTAAAATTATTCAATGTTTTAAGAAAATCCGATTAATAATTTCTCTAAAAAAAAAAAAAAAGAAATTAGGAACTATAAAATAAATGAGATAATAAATGATTTTTGTTTTATTTAAAACAAGTTTTACCTACATATTGCATTTTTTCTTTTACAACTTTCTATTACACGTTCCACTAACGCCTACGTAAATAGTGAACCTGTATTAGTAATATATGCATTCAATTAGCATTAGTCAACATATTTATTATTATATGACTTATAACACTTTTATATCACTTTTAAATTTATTATCTTATAAACAGCAACACAAAATATATGATAAGTAGCTTTATATATAAAAATCTGAAAATTATAAAATTATATATTTAAATTTTCATTCATTATTATCAAAAAATTATACAAAGATTTATAAATTATATTTTATTTTATATATAATATTATTAAAAAAAATTGTATTTATAAAAATCTAATAATAATATTTACATTTAAATTAGCCGCTATTTTTAATCAATCATATACATGACATATATAATGCGATGAAAAGCGCGAAGTTTGCCGCGCCATTCGAAAGTGTACGAAGTTTGTCGAACAAATCTGACTGCGATATAGTTCGCCACAGTCGCTCGGCGAACTCCGGCGTGGAAGGATGGTTTTGTGTTTCTTGTGAATTATGTTCCACGCTGTATGTGGTGCTGTTTGTGTACTCTTTCAATTGTATAAATCGGTGTCAAAAGCAGTGTAATTAAATACATAATTAAATACGTGTATAATCTAAATTATTTCGATCAAAACTGAATACTGAATAAAATCGAGTTTTTTTGTTCTTCGATTACAGTAACAACTCGACATCTAAACTCACTTACGTAAGTCTTATAACTTTGATTTTAAATATTATAAAATATATTGTAAAATATTATTTTAAGTATAATTGTTATATATTTTGTGATATATTATTCAAGAGAAGATTTTAACATTTTATAAAAATTCGAATAATTGATATCGATGATCGAATTTTTATACTAACTTGCGCACACTATTATAATCGATATTTCGATCGAATTTTTTAATCGCGAGAAAGCTTGTTAATAAGATGACATTTTATCACAGTTTCTTTTATTTTTTTTTAAATGTGAGTAAAAAAAAAGTTGATAAAATGATAAATGATGTACACATACATATACATACATATATACATATATACATATATATATATATATGAGTTGCAGTGTAAAGACAAGACAAATTCAACAAATCAATAAAACTCTTATAAGAATCTGATTGTCGCTTGATATATTACGATATATAATATTTTTTGAAATGAATACGTTTCACGATAAAAATGCCATATGTAATAATTATCATGACGTCGTATGTAAATCTTCCTGCTTCAAATTTATATAACATCGATATTTATGAAGATAATAAGAAATATTTGGAAAAAAAATCGAAATTACAAATAATGCAAAAAGAAAAGAAATATTTGTGAATGCATATTTTATTAATGAATTTATTAATAATAAAGATAAAGTAAATCATTTATTGATTGACAAAAATGATGATATTTTATCTATTTTTATTTTTTTTATTGGATGTATTATACATGGCTATCGTAGCATAACAACTATACCATAGCATAACTATAACTTATGCACAATTATTTCGAGCTACGATTCACTGACCTACATGACGCACATAATTTAGCTGGTCAAGTTTCGGGTTCCGTTGATCCTACGATCTTTTTTGTTCCAATTCGAATGATCGATTTCTGTCATTATAATTTCTGTCGATTTAATTTGCACGTAAACAGGGATCGATAAGCATTATTTTTATCCTGAGGATTATTATTCTTTACATTTATTCTAACTTGTGAAATTGCATGTAACATATAATAATGAGAATATTATATATTTATTATTGAATTTAATTATTGTAATTAAATTCAATAATATTATTGTATTAATATAATGTTTCTTTTTTTTTTGTATAAAAAAAAGTACACTTCGTTCATTCAAGAAAATCTCATTAATTATTTAATATGTTTTATGAAATTAGAATCAATATATTTTCAATTTTTTGAATAGATTGCAAATTAATCTTAAACAATTCAGTATTATATGACAAAAAATTATTCTATGAATAAGTAAATTATATTATAGAGTATGAAATAAAAAATTGAAACTATTATTTTGTGATATATAAAAAAATGATTTTTAAACATTATCTGATATAAATTTAAATTTATTTTCTAAATTAAATTAAACACTATTTTTTCCTAAATATACTTCTATTCTATATTTCTAACAATAAGTATTTATAATTATATATATATATATTTTTAATCAGTCTAAATTTTTAAATATAATATTTCTAATGCTAAAAATAATAAAAATTCACATTTTGTAACTAAAGAAAATCTAAGAATTGAAATATCTAACAGATTGATTATTAACTATTTAATTGATAGATTAAATAGTTAAATTAATTAAATATTAAACTGTTTATTATATAAAATTATAAAATTATAAAGTTATGATCTTTTTCATTTTTTTTTTTATATCTTACAAAAAAGTTATCTTTCTGGTTATTCTTTCTTTTGATTAAACATAAAATATATCATATTTTTCATTTATTCAACAATAATTTATTTTTCGAAATATAATCCAACTATAGTTTCTTTTCTTTTTCTCTACTTTTAAGTAATCTTTTCGTGTTCACCGGTAATTATGGAAGTATCGATTGGCACTTTTATGCATTGCTTGGAAAGTGAAATCATAAAATCTAAGAGTTTTATTATCCTAGTTATATTATCCTTAAATTGTGTTCCTTATTATATTTCGTGATAACTGGTGAGTTCAAATCACGAATATCAGAGATTCTCAAATATTAAAAATTATTTTTTTTATTGTTAAATTTTTCCTATTAATAAAACTTTTTTTATTTTATTTCAGATAAACAATTTAATTCCTGATATTATTCTTTATCATATTCAGGCAACTAATTTTGTTTTTTTTTTCTAGGTTAAAGAATCTATCGAAGGAATTTAAATAATTTTTTATAGAAAAATAACGTGGCTTTGAGAACTCAAGAACATTAGAAATTTAATTCTTTGGAAAATAAAAAGTTTGCTCAAATGCTAAAAATAAAAATTTAATATTTCTCTTCGAGAGAAATATTAGCATAAAATATTCAAAATTCCTTCAAAAATTTATTCCATCGTATAAAGCAATTTACATTTGTATATGGAGCATGTGATTCGATAAAAAATCGGTAAAAAATGCGAAGAGTATTCAAAGTTTCGAACAAGAAGTTAGAAGTTTAAATTTTTCGTAAAGCAGCAAAATAAGATTTTTTTTTTTTTTAGTAATCATGTTTTTGTGTATCTTTATTCGTATTGAAAGATATATAGATTTTTTATACTTTTTCAACTTAATGTTTTTCGATTAGATTTTGCATAATATTGACTGTTTTCACAATATTGATATTACAATCACATTTTTATTATTACATTGATATATTTTTAAATGATAAGATATTTGATTTTTGAACATTAAATGGATATAGAAGTTTTAATAGAGATAAATTTAATATTAATTTCAAAGTTTTCATTTTATTCAGAGCATATTTATTATTGCATATTATTTCTTAATTATATTTTTTACATTCTAGAATATCGTAATTCCTTGTAAATTATAAAAATAATAATTTAATAATATACTATTAAATTAAATAAATAATGTTTAAAAATTCTTTTAAATATATAAGAAAAATAATATTGAATATCAAAATTTAATAAGTATGAATTGTGATTCATGAATGGGTTATAATATTTGTAGAAAATAATGTTGATTGTTTAAAAAGATAGAGGAATTATCAGGTCAATTTTATTTTTTTAGAATTTCTAAGATAATAGCGTACTGTGTAAATTGATCACATTAGATTTTGTTTCACAATCTGTTATAAAGATTTGAAATGGAGATCCTTTTTCTAGCTCTATTAATGGCCGTATCTGACAGGTTAATTCACAATCATTTCGAGAGTTCCCTCGTTTTAAACGGAAGGGCAACTTGGACAAAGTCAAGTTAATTTGCGACTAATTTGCATCGAATCTTAGCACGATCATCTTACACTGCTGTATTTCGTTATATAAATCCCATTTTTAAGAGGATAAGTCTATAATAAAACTTTTTTTTATTGAAATTCATTTTATTAAATTTTTATTCTTATATTAAATATTTAGTTTCTAATTCTTTTGGAATAAAATAAATTCATTATTCGGCAAGTATTTGTTCAAAATTTCTTCTGTGTATTTAAAAACTATGAAATGCTTGCAATCATTATACGATCAGACATTGACAAAAGGTTGTTCCAGTTTCGTGACATGTAAAATTGAAATTCTGATCAATAAATCTCGACTGCGGTTAGCCCACTATATTTATATTGGTCATTAAATTTCACGAGAATAGTGTACCATTTTTTATAACGACAACGACCATTTTTTTTTAATACAATTCATTACAATTCAATTTCTAAAAAAAATTTTCTTTGTTTCTTCTTATATTTTAATAAAAAAATTTGCTTACTCGAATCGAGTTACTCGAAATGAAAATATATATATATATATATTCAAAAGACAAAAATGTATGAAGTGATATTTCACAATCATTTGAGATTCTAAAAATATTTACTTGAATTTTATGGGTTTTGTGCTGTTGGGACAATCAGTTGAGAAAATCAGATTTTTGCGATACCACGAATTCTATTGAAATCAATCTCTCTTTCTTTTTCTTCTTTTTTAAATTTTATTTTTTAAAGAAAAAACACAATCATGAATTTATGTTGATATTATATTACAGTTTCATTTGATCTTCATTTTAATTTCATTTTAGTTTCATTTCAGTTTAAATTCAAACAAATATTTCGATTTGTTTTTTAGTTTTTCGATCTAGATTATCTATATTTTGTATTATGTAATGAAGATTGTTTAAATTAATAATTTGTACATAAAATGTCCTATGAATTTTTTTTTAGAAAGTGCATTGTGAATATTTTTATACTGATAATATTTAAATTTTAGGTGATGAAGATATAAAATGGTAGTGAAGATGTATAAATGAATTGACTTCATAAATCATCAATGATTTCTTTGTGTATTATATAAATTTCATGAATTTAACATTTATAAATTTAAGATTTAAAATTTTTAGATTTTTAGAATTAATTAGAATTAATTATTTAGAATAATCAAAATGGATTAAAAAATTAAGAATATATTTTGAAGAATATATTCAAATATTTTTAATAGTTCATTTTTATTATTTATCAATTTTTTGCTTGTCGTAATGTGTATGCCATATGTAGACACTGGCGACAGAATTATTACACATCGAATATTGCATAGTCACTTTCAAACGTTGTACATAGTTAATTACTTCGTTTTATTATCAACTGAAATGGCATCGTCAATACTATCGATAACGATAAATCATTAATTTATTTTTAACTTTAAAAATTTTGTTTGTTTTAACAACTGTAATGTTTTTGAAATATAATACAAAAAAAGTAAAGAGATTTCAAAATATTTGAATACATAATGAATAATAAATAAAGTTTAGCAAATAATGAAATAATAATAATTATTACAGAAGGATCATTCACGTTGATGTATCATTTATCAAGATCATTTAAAAAAAGAAAACGGTTTCTATGTTTCACAATAGCATCGTGTGAAACAGTTTCTTCAATTAGCAAAACATGTTGGCCTTCCGTGCAATTAGTATTGCATGTACAAAAAAAATTTTTTTCTGTGAAAACACATGAACTATTGTGTCACCGTATTTAAAGGTATTTGAATATTCAATTTATATTAATCTTATATTTCCATTATTAATTTACATTCAATTCGATTCATATCCATAAATTCAGATTAGTTGTTTGACCAAGTTTATGACGCAAATTCATCGGTAAGCTCCAGATTAGAAATGAACTGCGACTGCAATGAGCTAATTGAACTAATTAAGTTCGTTAGTTGTTGCTCGTGAGCATCAATACACGTGATACCTTCTCTGTATCTTCTTCTGGAATCGTTTCTTAGCGATGTTAATCGACGACAATACACAATAATTCCTGATATAAGTTTGTTTTTCATTGGAAAATATATGGCGTGAATAAAATTATTAAGTTTTTTTTCATAGAAAAAAAATGAAGTTTTCATTTTATAGAAAATTTAAAAATTAATCCGTAAATGAAATATTGAGAATTTTTTTTATTTTTATAATTTTTTTTATAATTTCTATTAAAATTTCTTAATCAGCTCAATATCGTTCCTATTTCTTTATAAAATTTTCTAATTTTGAAAATAACCATTCTTTAATAAGAGATGTTTTTTAACTTTGTTGCCACATTTATCTCATAGTTTTCTTTCTGAAACTTCCTTAATTTCTCATACTATTACATGCACGGATAATTAAAACTGGGAACATTATTCTTCAGTGTGAGCAAAAAAATAAATAATCTCAAAATAGTAAATCGCGTAACATAATATAAAGAAAGAATAATAAAATTACGTGTGTAATTAAGATGCATCATCGAGCAGTATGTTATGTAAACCTTGAGCCATTCTCTATTTTCGTAATTTAGAATTAGAGAATTGGTTAACTAGGTTAATGTAACGTCTTATAGTATTAATAAACATACATATTAAGGGAAAGATAAATTTAATTTGTCAAAAAATTCTTATTTTTTAAAATCTTTAAATTTTTACTTTTTTGTAATAGAAATATATATATATAAAATTGATAAAAGAAAAGAAAAAAGAAAATTACATACTTCGTTTCAATAAACAATAGATGCTTGAGTTTTTGAGTTTAATAGTGATTAATCCAGCACTTTATTCAGTACACCACACAATAATATTAAATTGAATATCGTAGGTCTTTCGATTTGAACCGACAATTGATATAACATCGAGCAATTGCATCGCAGCTTGGTTTCTGAATCATTCTTTTCATATCCATCTTGGTTGGCTAATATTTTAGTCCCTTGAAGATGTCGGTTTTTTCAGTTCAGGGTCAAAATTACGAAATCGATGTTTGACGTAATGTCTGATTGAAATTTGTTTATTGTTCGAGTAGATAATTGAAGATAACGGAATAATGGTATCGAGATGGATGATGTATAATAATATTGATAAAAATATAAATTTTGTGAAAAGGAAGTTGATGTTATGTCGAATATTTAAAGATCTTTTTAAATTATTTTTATTTTATTATTATTTATATGTAATTTTATTACATATAATATCAAGACTTTTATACAATAATTTACAATATAAGAGAACTTTTATACAATAATTTTTAAAATCAGGAACAGGAATTATTTTTGTGTTAAAAATAAAAGATAAAAAAAAGAGATTCAAAAGTATTTAAAATATCACGAATAAATATAAATGCAAATATAAATAATATGCAGAAAAATATGAATAAATTTTTGAGAAAATTTTTTTTCTTTTCCTGCAAAACACTAAAAATTTAATTTTTAACAAATGGTTTATAATGCAATTTTATATTAAGTTCAACTTCCTGTAACTGTTCATGTTCCCGGAATTTGGTCTACGTAATATGTTAAAAATAAATCTGGACTTTATTCTTGATGCTTGATGTTTTCGGCATGGTTACTAGATTAAATTACTCCCGCTCTTTGATAATTATACTTTATGTAATTATAAACACCTCATTTAGTGTAGCAATGCGATTAAGAATTATTATGGTAAAAATCTTGATAAAATCACTAGTTTTCTAAGAAAAATATTAATTAACTCTTGTAATTTCTCAGTCTTTTTATACTTTGAATTTTTTAGTTTCAAAATTAAAAATATTCTGTATATACAGAAATATAATTATAGTAATTAAAATCTTTTTTAAAAGTTTTTTATTTATTTTTTATCATCATTTTAATTCTCTTCAACTTTTCTTAATAACTTATGAGAAATTTTAGTAATTAAATTTTCATTTATTATTCTTTTTATTATCTAAAATTTATTTCTACCAATTTTATGTGCAACAAATTAAAAGTTGTTACAAAATTATCGCTATATTTTCTCTAGTATTACTAAACTCTTAAATAAAGAATGATATTGTTTTTTTTTTTCACAGATTTTTATTTTCAGTGAACGAATAAGAATACTCCTGCATAGTTTGCAATAAAAAATGACCAGATTTTTTTTCATATATTTTTCAGACGAGATCATGAAAAAAGGATGACGAAAGATCGATGAACCTCGTTGTGGCGTCGCGACGATTTCACGCTGTCAATCGAGACAAAATCCGAAAGCTTGCAGATCGAATGCAGTGAATCATGTCGCAATCGAGACGTCCCAGTGTTTCTATCCACGATTATCCGGAACATTTAAATCCATTCAACGATGATATCACCAGTACACAATCTTACTTTTACCGTGATGGAAAAGCAAAAGATTCGAAACATAAATTCTGGACATTTGGCAGAAGTAGAAAGAAGAGATCAAATAGCTTTTCTATTAAGTCTACATGGTGAATATTATTTTAATTTAATAACTAATATAATTAAATGATAATAAATCTTTACTTAAAGTTCATGTAGAAAAAATTATATATAGATTATTTACCTATATATAAAATATAATAAAAATATTAATAAGATATAAATTTGAATTTAGACAAAAAAGAAACGTAGAACTTGGCAAATTTTTGGAAGAGAAATGTGTCATAAAGATAAGCTTAGATTTGATGAAGGATGACTAAAGGAATATAATTACATTATCAGTATGATGATATTTTTATTAACTTCAAAATTATATTATATGTTTTAAATTTTCAATTATTGAATGATTTGTTAAAAAGGATTGTTATGTTTGATCATTTGACAGAATTTTATTATCAACAATATGTCGAGTTCAAATATAAATTGAGAAAGGTTCGGCCAGAAGTTTCTTGAACTTGAACCCATGAAATGTACACGTGTATCGTATAGATATTTGCATTTGGCTGTTATCCAAAGAACATAAATAAAAGGAATTTAGCAGACGATCGACGTCAGGTTGTCTTCCGTCCAAAAGGTCTTTGCAATTTCTATTTAAGGCAACGTTCGACGCGCCTTTCCTGCGCAATTACGCGTTCTTAAACTTCTATACAGTTATCTTCATTTATGATCATTTTTTTCCATTTTAAAAATATTTTTTAATCCACATAATCAGTTTTCAAGAAAAACTGAGATGATTAAGTTTAATTAGAAAAATAACTTTATAAATTTTATTAACTTTATTATTTATTATTATTATAATAAATAATTATTATTATAAAAGTAGCATATGATTGATTATTATATAAGAAAGTTTTAAAAATGTACAAATTTTGTACGTTTTTATTTTTATATGATGAAATTATTTTTTCAAAAAAAGAAAAAAAAATTTTTTTAACAGTTGATATTTTATTATTGATATAAATAGATATTATCAATGATTGTTATTTTTATTATATAGATGATCTATTATTTGATTAAAATTTAAAATAATAATACATTAAACTTTAATGTAAAATTTGTTTCGAAGCATTCAAATTATTTCAAATTATTATTGAATTTTTTTTTAATATCAAGTATCGAAGAGTTTATATCACGTGGAAATTTTATATCATGTATAGCGGTTTTCTACAATTTTTCTTGAATTAAGCCAATCTTATTTTTATCTTAATTTTGCTTTTGTAAAATCTAAAATAGCATTAGATAGTGCAGCTTCAAATATTTCATCTATGATCCATTTAATCTATGATCTCAATCTAATTTAATTTTAAAATCAAATTGTTTACTGATTCTAAAATTTATTTATACTTATTGTTACAAATTGATTAAAATTGAATAAAATTTATTTGGATTTTTTTAAATATAAATTAGTGATGTTTTTTTAATATACGTTTTGTTTTTCTATTATTTCATATTATCAAAAGATAAAAATTGTCATTGGTAATTTCAATCAAAATTTGTTATTATCAAAAAATTAAATTTGATCTTAATTTTTACTAAAATTTTCTATTAGTAAGAAGAATTTATTTCTATTAATAACAGAATTAACATTCCTCATTTATGATCATAATTTCTGTGTTATTAAAAGTCTTAAATCAGCGTAACATTCTATATATTTAAGAAATTAGTTATTAAATGTATATTTATATATATTGAATATTGCGTGTCAATTAATCTACACAAAAAAATCAAGAAATATACATCATAACATCTATAAATCTAGGAATAAACTGCTGATTCATAGAAATTTAAATATTGTCGTTTTTATAATGTATTAATTATTTAACGCATAGAATACAACAATTGTACAAAAATTAAAAATTAATATAATATAATATAAAAAGATAAGCATGAAATCATAAGACACTGACATTTGTAATATCGATTTTTTTATTTTCTTCAAATAACATATTGATCTTTTCTTTAATGCTTTTCTTGTCAGTCTTTTCATGAATTCATGGATTCACTTTGCAATTGAATATTCTTGGTGAAATTCTGATTTTAATTTGGAAAACGATGCATATTCTTCTGCATATTCTTTTCAGAAAAACAGAGTTCCGGTCTAATTGTCGATTAAAATTAACTTCAGCTTGGTTGATAATTAATACTGGATTTATATCTTAACATATATTT